ATATATATATATATATATATATATATATATATATAATCTCAATACTCAACAAAAATGCAGCCCCTCATCTACCTGTGCACTAACTTCAAAAAATTCACATCTTAGGATGATTTTTTTCTGACCCTCTCATCAAAAACAGAATTTAAAAGAAAAGGTCACCTTGACAAATGACCAATGAAACACGCATTTTAAGCTCAGCAAGTGAAGCGTAACAAAACGTCCTTTTCTTTTCCTTTACTCCATTCAAAGGCAGAAATAAAGTAAAACATGTGGACACTATCTGCTCTAGGATCTCTAGACCTGGAGAGACTGCCTGGCTAAGCAGCCTGCAAGAAAAATTTGGAAGGAAAAAATATATATATGGTGACTCAGCAAAATGTATTTGACACAAACAACCTCCAACTGATTTATTCTGTTGCTACCGCCACATGGCAGAGCAAAGGGAGATGTAAAGTCATTTCTATATTTCAAATGCAAAGGGAGATGTAATTGCAAAGGGGGGTGTAAACTTATTTCTCTATTTCATTTTTTCTCATGCATCCAAGGTCTACATTTTAATCTGCAGACATTTGAGTTGTTTATGTAAAATATGTGTAGGCCATACAAAAGCACAAAAGACTGTTAGTACAGACAACCCCTGCAGAAAAGTCCTTTGAATGCAATAAAGATGACACCAATAAGGTTCTTGAAAAATTTAATAGGATTCCACAGAAATTAATTCTCTCTAGGTACTGAATTTAAAAGGAGTTCCCAGAGATTTTTCAGCCTGTTCAGAAGTGTGTAGAAAGAATAACATCTTCTATTAAGTTCTACAGGATAGGTCCAAAGCATGTAAACGGTGCTGGCTTCCTGTAACAGTTCAAAGGATTTTCCCACAAAGGAAAACAGCACGAGTGAAGCAAGGAGCAAGCAAATGGCTTGAGAACACACTTCAAGCTACACTACTTCTCTTTGGAATAGCAATCCTTTGTTGACTGAAACAATAATGCATCACTTGGTATCTGGATCAGACTTAATAGCCTTCCTTTCCCCCCAACACACCACTCACCACCTGCACACAACCATACCTGGGCTGTCCTGGAATCCGTCACCTCCTTGTAGAGGCTGATGTCCAAGTAGTAGCCAGATTCATTGGTCAGGAAGAGACGGATAGGTATCGCTTTTCCAGTTGGTGTCAAGCGAATGTTGATTTTCAGCTCTGCTTGAAGGACACGGAGTTTCCACAGGCGGCTTCCGTAGCGCATCACCATGCTCCGTACAGACTCTTCTATCTTGGCACACACAAAGAAAAGGGAGTTTATGTCACCTTTCTGCTCCAGACATGACACTGTCATTTCTACTTCTCACAATGGGTCACAACAGAGGATGCAGGCCAACATGTGGGGCTGCTAACAAACCCAAGTGTGAGCCAACAAGGCTTCTTTCTCACCTCTTCAAATCAGACCACCTTCCTTTCCTCCCTCCCCCTTGCATTGAGATCCCACCCTGCAGAAGCAGTAGACATTGCATCTGAGCATGCTGACAGTATGATGTAATGATACTACCAGTTGGCTTAAGGGGCTGGAGAGCATGTCACATGAAGGAGACAGTGTGTTATTTTCATTAAACGTTGAACCCCTTTGGGACCAAAATGAGATCGACCATGTGTCCTTTCACTGAAGTTCCTGTAACACTGATGCTATGTGAGCTTGGAGTTCCATCAATTCATTCCTCAGCTATTTTTAGGGAAGCTGGTCTGTCAACTAATAAAGCTCGGAAATGCCTGGAATAGACTGGAGGTTAGGCTTGAGCACAGTGTTGTATCCTTTGGCATGTAACCCCTCCAACCAGCAAAGAGCTTCAGTGCTGTGCGCTCACTCTACTGAATTTTCACGTTTCATCTCTTGCAAATATTGTTCTCAGCTAGGAATTATGAGATGCAGGAAAGCACCATGAAAGTGAAAACCTTGGCAAACAGTTAAGTAGCATTTATATGCACGATAACCATGTTTCATTGCACGTACAGTACAGTGCCTTAAATCAACAAAGCAATTACCACTTGGAGCTTGTTCCTGTGCTGTTTTATTAAACTTTATAATATACTCCTGTTGGTAAATAGCGCATATTAAAGTAAGGCAATTTGTAGGCTATTTCCACCTTTCTCTCCAAAAACCTCTTTTCCAAGGCTGCTCAGGGCAGAGGCAATGCTGCACACACAGGAGCTGATCATCACTGTTACAGGTTTCAGCTCCTGTCCATGGCTCTGAGAAATAGGGTGCACAGCACCTCTGACAACAAGGCGGGGCTTGAATTAAGTAATCAAATGTACACGTGGCTTAAAATCCAACGGGCAGGAAACTCTCTGTTAAGTAACTTACTCCACTCTTTTTTTCTTTGCTCTTTTTTGTTATTTTCCTAAAAAAATACTCATTCTCATTTGCTTTAAACAATTAAAAGAACATTGATTTGCAACTAAATGTAGCTATTAAGCTAAGTTTAGTCCTAGTTTTGTTAACCAAGATAGAGTGCAGGTATCCACAGTTATTTAAACAATGACATTACCTTAACATGCATATGTTCAGTTTCCCAATTTTCTTCATTTTTAACATTAGAAATTAGTGAGCGAAGCATTTCTTATTTACTGAATAATAAGTTTGCTTACCCCTGGCTTGTGTCAACTGCATGTGAACAATAATGGGAACTCAATGAAAATGCACAAACACCGTATTTTAGAAGAGTTTAATCAGTTATATAAAATTACCTTAAATCTGCTGGAAAAAATAAATTTATCCAAGCCCCATTTGTATTTAACACTAAATTATTAACTAAACACAGGAAGTAAGCTGACTAAAGGACATGGTAACCACAGATATGATTCTGAATAACCTGGCCACCAAACTAGTAGCTGCATCCCCGGAAATGAAGAAAGTGTTGCCTCGGCACCTGCTGAGGAGACTACCGCTGTCAAAAGCTGGTTTAGCACTTCATCAGCTCAGTTTTCAGGTGCTTACAGACTTCTACCACTTCCATGGCTTGATTTTTTTAAATCATCAGCATCAAGCAAAGTCCCTGGATATATTTTTAATTATTTAATATATTATTGCTAGTTTTAAGCCTTAACATAGATTGTCATATTTTTAAATATACCTGACAAAAAAATTAAAAATAAATATTTGTATTTATCTATTTACACCCATGACATTTTAAAACCAGCTGGAGTGCTTCTGGCCAAACTACCTAAATGCCTGCACTAACCAAGGAGCTCACAAACCTGGTCTCTAGCATTTAATTGATGCCATTGTTCCCAAAAGTTTAATCTGTGTTTTCATGGGAGCACTATTATCTACTGGTTCTACCCTGCATGATTTAGGATTGCAGTTAACATGAAGAAACTCAAATCAGGCAGGAAAAAAAAAGCACCATACCTAAATCCAATAATTAGTTTCCCGGGTTTCTGATACAGGGCAGCAGATGAAATCTATTCTTCAATCATGGTATGAGACTAAGTGGATTCAGTCAGCAGAAGAAAGCCAGGCCAAGAATAACCAACAGCTTGTAAGTGGGAGACACGTACCTTAGATGGATCCATGATGACAGTGGGCACAAAGTTTAAGAAGATGTGATTGCAGTCTGTGCGCACGTTGGTGTTATTAAATGCCACCTCCAGCTCATCCATGGCTTCCAAAAGCAAGCGCTCCCCTTCGTTCTGAAGATACTCAAAGGAGGCTTCCTGCAGGAGATTGCCAACAGACTTCTTATCTCATGCTAGCATCCCCTCCACCCCAAACCCAGATGTATTAGACTATAAAAGACCATAGCAGAAAACAACAGGAAAAAAAGATTATA